GGATGTTTTTGCTCTTTTCCCGACTGGTTTCGGCAAGAGTAGCCTGGCTTGTGGTTGTGTTTTCGTCGTTGCTCTGTTAGTACGTCATATGCTTTGTTGATCTGATTGGTGTATTTGGCCCGTCTATCACCAACATAGCTAACCAGTATTTTCGCCCCTTCCCAAAATTACTTCAACGGAAGGTTTCCAGATGGATACGCGGAGCAAATCCATCTGACGGAGTCAGGTTAGCACAATGGCACAATGGTTACTTTGTACTTGTGACAGTGTAATGACCATAAAGTTGAATTCTAAATTCCTTCCACTGAACTATAACAGTAGAGCTGTGCATAAAGCATTGCTGTTTAGCACTTAGGATTCGCTATTAAGCATGCAATATTTAGTGCAATTAAAACACATATACCTCTGAGGCGTCTTGTTCTCCTTAAGCCCTTAATTAAGACAAGCAATCTATGTTGCCACTTACTTTACCAGGGAGTACTTTAAACTTTTTCAAACCTGAAGCTCATCATCTGGTCCGATGTTTGCTGCAGCTGTGGATGCAAACATTAGCGTTACGAACGTCTCTGTTTGCCACAACATGAGTCCTCGTTCATTCATTCCTGACTGCCAGTTGCAGTAATACCTTGATGCAGGTCGAGGTTCTAATGAAAAGGTCACATAGGTGATGTAGCTCACCTAAGTATTACATCTACAAATAACACCAGGGGAACTATCAATGGTCTCCTGGGTTCCTCTCACTGATAAGAGTGGTGTGACTACCAGTTATCCAGGAATACACAAAACCAAAGTTACAGCATCATTTTCACTGCACTCAGATGTTTTTTTAGCTGGAATACTTGTAGACCAACGCTTGTGATGCTGCTTGTACGTCAGATATACAGGTGTAAAATAAACAGTCCTGCTCGGGACTTAAGTATATATATAAAAAGATACACTAAGTTGCATTACATTTTATAATATCTTAAAATCTATAGAATTAATAATCAAAATGAATGTGTTTAAGTCCCTGCCCTATTTTCCACTTGTTGCCTCAATTTTTCAACATGCTAACAGTCATGATAATATGCAAACCTGTGTTAAAAACTCCATGAAGAATGAAAATGAACCATTGTGCATAAATTACATTCTGAAGGTTTGTTGGTTAAGCTGATAACCAGCTGGTTGAGGCACACCCATCATCAAAATGTCTGCTTTAAGATCATTTTTGGCTGGAGGAAATATTTGGTCGTCTCATTTAACAGTGGTCTGTTTCACGAATCGTTTCGATGCATTTTCCAAATTATGTGGAGAAAATATGCAGTGCTGTCAACATAATAATGAGGGTATTTCTTCTTAGCCTCGTGAGACCATCCTGATCTCAAGAGCTTTCAAGGTTTCACTCGCTAATCAGTCTGGAGACTCTCCGTTAAAGAGAATTTGGAGCCATTCCCCAAATGAACGTCCAATCAGCGTTGGCTTTGAGGCGGGTTGAGGTGTGACGCAACGAGAAGCCCGACCATTCAGTCTAATGAACATGGTGGCTTCAGCCGATGAAACTAGCGTTAGCGTGGCTATCGAGCAAGTTTTATCGGAATTACAGAGTATTTCTTCACTGAAAGAAGAGCAAAACACTGCTCTGGAGGCTTTTCTCAGAGGAAAAGATGTTTTTGCTCTTCTCCCGACTGGTTTCGGCAAGAGTAACTTTGGCTTGTGGTTGTGTTTTCGTCGTCGCTCTGTTAGTACGTCATATGCTTCGTTGATCTGATTGGTTTATTTGGCCCGTCTATCACCAACATAGGCCAATCAGCTAACCAGTATTTTCGCCCCTTCCCAAAAATTACTTCAACGGAAGGTTTCCAGATGGATATGCGGAGCAAATCCATTTGGCGGAGTCAGGTTAATTTCTTCTGGCGACCCATAGAATCCAAGTGAACCCCATTGAAAACAAACAGGTTTGAAAAATGGTCAAACATTGGTCGGCTATGAAATGTCATACATGGAAATACTCCCCTCTCTGCACACTAACAGCAGATACAGCATCTCTAAGTTACATTAACTGAAAGTTGCTTTGTTTTATATTTAAATCACAGTAAGAGAAAAACCCTTTGGTAGCAGACCTACTACGACTTTCTGGTCAGCTTTTGTCTGACCATTTGATCTGCCAGAAAATCCCTTTCATTTCCAAAAAGAGCAAACGGAATCTTTGCTTATATGATTTCTGAAACAATAGAAATAAAACCTCCACCCTTCATGCTGAAAAATAACTAACTTTAAATTCTATAACTAGCAAGAGCAGGAGAGTGTGTCTCCTCCTAGTTTTGACTTGAAATTATCCAGAAAAAAACCGGGATTTACAATCACTCTTTGCCCTTGACAATCATTCACCAGCTTCCAAAGGAAAGCATCTCTCTTCCTCCAGCGATTCAGACGATGACGAAGAGAACAAGAAAAAGTTCAAAATCCGGATCAAGCCGCTGGTGGCGGACAGCGCCCGGTGTCTTCCTCCATCCATGGATGAGCTGAAAGCCTCTGTGGGAGGTCTGGCGCTCTCTCCTTCTCTGGTGAGCGTTGCTGATCTTAGTTCTGTCCGGCACTAAACACTGATAGAGCTGCTCCACTTTGTAGCATCTGTTTTAGTCTTGTACTGTGTTTGTTCTTCCTGCTGTCCTTCTATAGAGGAGAAGTCCGGTAAGCTTGCCACGCTTGTTTTTTGTTTTTTTTTTTAACAGCCAAAGATTGTGCAGGCATGTGCTCACTTGGTGGAAGAGCCAGTTTTGTCCCTAATGTTCTCCATGTTTCTGCATGTGGAATATGTTTTATTGTGTTCCTTTTAATCTCCAAAACCCACCGCTTTGTAGTTACATTTTCCTACTGAGTTTAAACTTTACTTAAACCTCTCTGGCAAAGCATGTGGTACATAATGCAAATTAAACAGAACACGGACAGAGCTCTGATCTAGTCTCAGTGCAGCTGTCACATTCTGTTTATTGTCCTAACGGCACATTTTGCATTATGGGAGCTATGCGGTTAAAGTAAAGAAGATGTGTTGTGTCCAGTTTTAGTTGACGTCCAGTTGACTGATTTGTCACTCACTCTCTGACCCAGGTCTGTTCTCTCTTCCTTTTTGCTGGTCTCAGAGACGCAGTCCGGTGAGTTTCTCTTTTTCAGCTGCCACACCTGCTGGTTAGAGGCCTGAAAATCAACCTCCTGATTTCAGCTTACAGTTGTGTTGCAGATAAAAGTGCAGAAATTGTACAATCAAGTATCAATAAGTGAGGATAAGTAAAAATAAAATCCAAATTTTTCTATTTTAAAGACATATTTATGTTTTGTATTCACTATTACTTTAGAATTCAGGTTTTCTACATTGAAGATATTTTAGATGTAATTACTGTAATATATTTATCCAGATGCTCCATAGATTATTTTTATTTCTAAAGTATGTATTATTTGCTTTTCTATTCTGCAGGGGATGATGAAAAGAAATTTATCATGTGAGTAAATTAATATTTTCAACTTTCTGTTTTTATTATTAGTTACGCACCATTTTTCAGGCCGTACTTTTGCAAGGCACTGCATCACATTTTATTGGATTTTACACATAGAAACATTTGCACACATTTTCCAGGTTGCAATCCGATTTCAGTGCAATCTGTTATTATTTTATGCAATTAAAAAAAAAACACAAGGGAGAATAAATTGGGGAAGCTGGTATAATATTTTCCCCCTAAATATTTTGCAAAACAAATTCGAAAGGTATTGCATGTATTTGCTTTTAGCCACTTTCACCTTGCAAAAGCATTTGGGACCCTTTAATTTTTTTAGCCTTCAAACATAAAGATATAAAATTGACATTTATTTGGGAATAATCAACAACAAGTGGGACACAATCATGTAGAGAAACGAAACTGAAGAGTGAGGCGTGCAAATTGAATCAGCTCCTTTACTTTCAGTGGAATAAATTCTCCAGATGCTCAATGAGGATCTGTGAATGATTCAATGTTGACCTCAATGACTGATGATGATAAATAGAATCCACCTGTGTGTAATTAGGTCTCCATTTAAATGCACCTGCTCTTGGATTGTCTCAGAGCTCTTTTAAAAGTGCAGAGTGCATCATGAGGAACAAGGAACACACCAGGCAGGTTTGAGATTCTGTTCGGGAGAAGTTTAAAAGTTGGATTTGGATACAGAAAGATTGCCTAAGCTTTAAACATCAAAAGGAGCACTGTGCAAGCGATAATTAAAATGGAAGGAGTATCAGACCACTGTGAATCTATGAAGACCCAGCTGTCCCTCCAAACTTTCAGCTCAAACAAAGAGAAGACTGATCAGAGACGCAGCCAAGATGCCCATGATAATTCTGCATGAACTGCAGAGATCTACAGCTGAGGTGGGAGAATCGGCCCACAGGAACAATCAGCAGTGTACTGCACAAATCTGGCCTTTATGGAAGAAAGACTTTCCTTAAAGATATCCATAAAAAGGCTTGTTTAAAGTTTACCACAAGACACCTAGGAGACACAGCAAACATGTGGAAGAAGATCCTCTGGTGAGATTAAACCAAAATTGAACTTTTTGGCAACGATGCAAAATGTTGTGTTTGGATTAAAACCAACACAGCTCATCGCCCTGAACGCACCATCCCCAATGTAAAACATGTTGGTGGCAGCATTATGGTTTGGGCCTGCTTTTCTTCAGCAGGAACAGAGAATATGGTTAAAATTTATGGGAAGAACGATGGAGCCGAATTAAAGGACCATTTTGGAAGAAAACTTGTAGGAGTCTGCAAAAGACCTAAGACTGGGATGGAGATTTATTTTCCAACAAGACAATCATCCAAAATATAAAGCCAAATTTACAATGCCACTGTTCACAAATGAACATTTCAAGGTGTTATTGTTGCCTAGTCAAAGTCCAGACCTGAATTCAATTGAGAATCTGTGGAAAGAACTGGAAACTGCTGTTAACAAACCTTCTATATCCAACCTCACTGAGCTCAAGCTGTTTTGCAGGAAGAATGGACAAAAATATCAGTCTCTCGATTTGCTAAACTGATAGAGACATACCCCACATGACTTTGCAAAAGGTGGCGCTTCAAAGTATTAACTGCAGGGGGGTGAATAATTTTGCACACACAAGTTTTGTTTTCATTAAAAAATTTTTAGAATATACAGTAAACTTCGTACCATCGTCATTACTGCGTCCCACTTGTTGATTCTTCACAGAAAATGAACATTTTATATCAAATAGTTCAAGGGGACGGATAATTTCGCCAGGCACTGTACCCTGCTGAACCATCGTTTACTAAAATCACAGCTGCATTTGTCTTGAATGTGTTCTGATTAGCTTTGCAGGTGCAAAGGTTGAACGTTTTTGACTATTTGTCTTTGAAAAATAGCTAAGGCTAATTAGGATTACACAGCAAAGATAAGTGAGTGAGCATAGTCTGTTCACTGACTTATTCTAAATCCACACTGTGGAGAAGCAGCCTAATCTCCTAATACTCCCATTGCCGTGTTTCATCATTGATATTGTGAGTCCTATACAATTCTAAAACACACAATTAGAAACATATTAAGGTAAATCCAAACTTTTGTTAGACATTGCCCAATTAATTGTACTCTTTTCAAGCAAATCTATACTGTCTTAAGACATATTTATTTGATATATAAGCTAACACATGATTTTCTGTGATGTTTTTTTTTTGTAATCATAGGTGAAGAGATAGCTAGACCCAGACGCTCCACCCCAACGCCAAGTTGTGCATCTGAGACACCAAGGTCTGTAACTTTAACGGCCAACGAGTTAATATGATTTCACCAATGTTATGTTATTCAAAGTATTTGTTTGTAGTATTAAAGACTAGACAAATACAAGTTGGAGTTAAATTTTGTATCAAGTCTGGTTAAGATTAAAAGGTCAGTATATATAAGGTAATCACGTTTCTTAACATTATACCTCATTCTATCATCATAAATGATATAAACCTTTAACTTGATTTATAAGTCAATTTTGTTGGAATTTTCATGAAACTGCGATGGAAGTTACCAGGTAAAATCAGGCTGTATTATCAGATGACTTGTAACAGAGCTCTTGCACAGTATCTATCATCAAACCTTTATGTAACTTCTCTGGAACTTTAACTCGTTAAACTCACTTAGTACTTTTTTAAATGTATTTTTCATGCACAGTTCTGGACTTTACCAGGTGCTTTATGGACATTTTTTTGAAAGTCTTAGCTGGAACTGTCGTTTAACTCATGAGGAACTTGGTCATTTCTCAAAAACTTACTTCAACTTAACAGCTGCTAGCAAGGTTCCATGAGTGTAAATGTACGTATTTAGTACCCAGTTACAAGACTTATATGCTGCACATAATATTTATTAAATGCACCCAGTATGTTTAAGGACTATATGCATATAACTATATGCTTGGTTTGATCAAAGTTTGATGTAACCTGTACAGTATGCAAGTTACATCAAAGTTCAGGAAAGTACATTTAAGAATTGTTGAAAGTATTGGTTAAAGGACCCAGTATATATTGGAAAGTAAAATTAAGTTTTCAGGGAACTAACATCTCAGTAAAAGAAAATTACCTACGGTAAGTACAAGAAAGTACATAGGTTGATCTGGGAAGGTTTCATTAAAGTTACAGAAAATAACTGGGAAAAGCAAGCTACATTAAAGTTAAACTAAGTACTTAAAATGTTTCCTGATTGTGTGGGGAGGTTTTGGGATTCTTAAATGAACCTTCCAGGAAAGTACAAGATAAGTTCAGAGAAAGTTCTATGAAAGCATATAGGGAGATCTGTAAAATATGATTTCATAGCTCTAAAAATCAGCTAGGAAGAGCAGAGATGTTCTAT